AAGGAGTGAGTAAAATAAAAATGAAAAAGGGAGCGTTAGCAGTAGCCTGATCTGTGTGGGGGATGGCCTTGCATCTTGGCAGCATTACAACAGAGGCAGCATCAGTATCAGCAGCAACACTGATCATTTATCATCTCATGCTGAGATCAAACTGGACAAACATCCTCCATAAAGACCTGGGGAATGGTAGCCTTTTTCAGCCTACAGGGGTAAACATAGCAAAGCTATGAATACGAGTCCTGTGAAGCTGGGGCAGGGGGCAAGAAAGCATTACATCCCCACCACCAAGTGCGACTGCAATCATTATCTCCAAGGTTAGGGGAGGGAGAGACCGACCAGAGAACATTGAGAGCTTTCATCCTCACTGAAACAACTGCAGGGGGGGTGCATGGGGACACCAGAATTCAGCAGAGCTCGAAAATATGAAGTCAGGCATACTGACAGCAGAGCTTGTCCACTTTGTGTGACGTTACAGTCCTCAAAAGATGGTTTACTAAATGGGAAGGGAAATGATTTGACTAAGATTGGTTTGATAGTGACATGTAGAGAGACAGAAAGAGAAAGAAAACTTCTTCAATGCTGCTGAAAGGGAGAAGAAGAATAGGGTAGGTGGAAGACTTCTGTTGACTCCGTTTCTTTTGCTCTTGGTTGTCCTGAAAAATAGACACTAAGCACAAACACACACAATATCATCACACATACCTAAGGACACACATACACACACAAACACAGAGAAAAGAGACAGAAACTCATCAAACTGTCCTCACAGTGAGCAGGAGGTTAGTTTAAGGCCACCTTGGTTGTTTGTCTGATTCATTCAGCATTTCTCTTTCAGGGCCCTTTTGAGAAATAAGCCACTGCCCTCTCTCCCCTTAATCACTCTGCTCAGCGCTCTCTACAACCCTATCAATTACTCCCACACTAATGAGTACAGCTAGACACACACACACACACACACACACACACACACACACACACACACACACACACACACACACACACACACACTCACACTCACACTGTTGGAGTACTGCAGGACAACTTCGCCTCCTCTGTCTCTTTCACAGTGCTGAGAGATAGTGTGTCCTCTCCAGCTTCTTCTGTCCTGTCCCCCTCTCTGTTTTCTCCTTCTCTCACTTAACATTTTTCACGGTAAAGAGTCATCCTTTTCCATTGCCCGAGCAAAGCCTCCTGCTTCTCATTCACCAAACATTTATGAGCCTCACGTCTAATAGCGGTCCAATACATATTAATAGAATTTCATTTTCAGCTACATCAAAGTGTTTCCTCACCTCCCCTGAAAACTTGTCATATTACAACACCATTATTCCTTCTACTGACAAACTCATCCCAACAAGTCAACTATCATTTCCAGTGGCTTTGTGTCCAAAAAGCAATATCTCATAATGAACAGGCAGTGCTGAATACATTTGTGGGGAAGAATCAATTTTATAAAGTGAAACAGTGGCAGAGCCACAAAATAACAATGTGTAAATGGAGAATACAGAGTTACCCAAGAAGCACTGCAAAATCTCTACTGAGTAGGCGCTTTTAAACCTGGTTCTCTAGCTACCTGCAGTGTGCATATTAACAAGATAAACCACAGCTGATGAAGCAGAGGCACAACAGTAAGTTTAATGGCTCTGGCATGGCTACCATGGATGGCCCAAACGGAGAGAATTACGAGTCAATAATGATGTAGCACTGTGTCCTGGAGGGGGAGGGGGGACAGGTATAGTTCTCTCGCAGGGTAGATTTACTTTGACTCAGTGTACATCTGTGTTAAGACTGCAGTGTAGGGTTTCCACTGCAGTAAATACACACTGCAGCTGTGTGCATGGATCTGTGATGTCTTAATGCAATCCAGCAGTCTACAGCAGGCTGTGACAGTGCAAAATGAGAGTTCAGTTGAGCCGTTTTGTCTTGCTCTGTTCCGGTTGGCAAAAACAATGCTATGTGGCGGGGAGGCCTCGCAGGGCTTTTTGGCTCGATGAGATATGATTTGACTTGTTGGTGGATGTTGTATTTTTGCCAAGGCAATCCCACGCGCAACACACACACACACACACACACGTTCTGAACCCTTGTTTGAGCACAGCCGACAGAGGTGTGTGTGTCAGCTCGGCTGTGGCTGTCACCTCGCAGTTTCAGGTGACTGGTAACATGGCGCCTGTGTGACACACACACAGAGGACCCTGTCAGACGCAAACATCACACTCAGCCATCAACATGGCTGCACACCATCTCAGCTGCTACGACACACAACCTTTACATATCATCTCTCTATTGTTAACCTTTTCGTCAAGACAACCAACAGAAAACATGCGTCAGCCTTGGATTATGCCAGAGTGCCCAGCGTTCCCAGCCAGACGTGAACGTTGGGGCATTACCAGAGCGATTAGCAGCAGCAAATTCAATTAATCTTGACAAATCTCTGCTGAGGCAGAACTGAAGAGAGCGACGCGCCCCCTCTCCTGGTAATTAAAAGTGGCCGAGTTGAGCGGCGGGTGGTGTGACGATGACTAGGTTTTGGGATGAACAGTTCCAGCTCTAAGTCTGAATGTGTCAGGTCGTATTTACTTTGTCAGATGAACACGTACAGCAGCCCTCAGTATGAGTTGTGTTCATATGTGTGTGTTTTTGCGTGGGTGTGTGAGTGTAGCGTGGTTGTATGTCTCCAGCGGAAGAGAGTGGCAGAGGACAGGGGTAATTGGCTCTTCTTTGTCACCTCAGACAGGCGGGGTTTTTCATCATAGAGGGATCAGCTTCCAATTTTCTAAGCCGCGCCATACTTCAGACGCAATCAACAAAGTTTTTTTCCCAAACACGGGGAGAAAAATGCAAGTCAGCAGCTATTTAATCATCCCTTTGATTGCTTTGAGGGGAGAGAGCACGCTCCCTTGTGCAGTCAGAGGGAAAAAGACAAGGTTAGAATGCATGAGGAGAAGGAGGTAGGTATAACGGAGCAATGCTACCATGACCCTTTATGGACAAAACAATACAGAACACCAAGCTACAGCACAAAACTACCAGAGGACTAACAAACAAAGTCACGCGACTGGAGAGGGTCAATTTGACCGCAGCTAACATCAACTGAAAGACAGGTGAACAGAGGGCAGAGGAGACTCGAGAGGAACACTTGTTGCCACTTGGAAGGATGTGAAGAAAAGATTCACACCAGAGAATAATCCCCAGTGGCAAGAAAGCCAGCTAACCTCTTCTTATCTGTGACTGTGGCTGCAACCTGACTCAACAAAGTCTCTCAAAAGGTAAACTGAGGGCATAGAAGCACTGAGCAGACCAAGGGCAAAAACTGAAAGAGGTGCTTGGAAGTCCCTGAGTTTCTCTGAGGCTCTCCACCAGGGCTGGATGGTTGGATTCCGAATATTTGTCCCACCTGTAAAAGAAAAAAACAACAGAGACAGCGGAAGAGACAGATAATAATGATAAGATATCATGGCAGATTGATGGACAGAGAGTATAAATAGAAGAAGAATGAGAAAAATGTGTGGATAGATGAAGATTAAAGACCTTTGAGAGTAGACGGGAGGTGAAAGAGAGAAAAGCAGAATATAGAAAGAGGGTTCAGAGACATGAAAAGAGGTATTGACTGTGAGAGATCATAAGCAAAGGGAGGATGAGTGAGAGACCTCAGAGAGAAGAGATGAGACAAAAGAAGAAGAAGAAGAAGAAGAAGAAGAAGAAGCAAAAGAGGTTAGCAGCTTGGCGTCGACTCGAACCCGTGGCTCACCACAGCTATGCCTGATGAAAAAGCAGAGATAATCACCCCACATCCCCACCCTGATCAATCAAAAAGCCCCTTCACCCCAAGAATACCCATGTATCCCAATTCCCCACCACCCCAACACCCTCAATTGTCATTCCACCCCTTCCTGCACCCCAATTCTGCTTCTGACCGGTGGAGGGGAGCGCCACTGCCCCTCCCCTCCAGCCAGGTGTTCCTGCAGAGTGAGGGGATCAATGCTGAGAGCAATACATGAGAGGGAGGAGGGGAGCGGAGATTTTCACATGAACGAGGATCAACACAACACCATATAATCCTTTCTGTGTCTGCTCCTTTGGCTGTGTTTGTGTGCTCTTGTTTGTGTGTGCATGCTTGCTCAGAGGAGGAAGAGTCAGAGGGAGAGAGAAAGAGAGCAACTGTGTGTCCCCCTTTTGCAAGTGTGAGGTAGACTTTTGTGTGTATGTTTGTGTGCAGGCATGTGTGTATGTCACACCTGCCATGGAGCTTTGAGCAGTGCCGTGAGGAAGTCAGCCGTTACCATGGGGACATTAAAATGTGTGGCGCTCCAGGTCATGTGGACTAAAATAAGCCCTTTGCTGTTTGTGTTAACATTGCTATTGTGAGGTGCAGCATACACACAACGCCCCCTGACTCCCAATCTCACTGCGCCCAATTTTAATTTTTATTGGAAATCAGAGGGACAGCAAAGGTGTTTGGCAGCAGATAAAGGCAGTGGTATGCCCCTGGGTCAATCAGTGTGTGAGTGTGGGGCGTGGTGTGTGTTACAATACTGTGATCGCCAATAAGGGCTGACCCCACGTTTGTGGTGGGTGTGTGTGAAGTGCTTATCGGACCCTGTATTTGTGGAGCACCTTCCCCCATGTGAAAATCCCTCTCACTGGTGCGTCGCTCTGTCGATGAAGAAAAAAGGTTTAGCGCGTCTGTGTGACTGTGTGCATGTGTGTGTCTGTGCAGTGGAAGTGTACGAGAGAGAGAGAGAGAGAGAGAGAGAGAGAGAGAGAGAGAGAGAAAGCAGGTGAATAGAACTGTCTCGTTTGTTTTGCTTGTGGTGAAAAAAGCCAGAGAGAGCAAGTGTGCACGTGTGAATGTGAGAATGTCATTTGTCAAGGGTTTTTTGGGGATTGAAGAGGGGATAGGAAGTTCGGGTGGGGGGTAAAGGGAGGGATGGGAGGGGCGGTGAATGGGGTGAGGAGGGTGGGGAGGTGGGAGGGGGTGACAAGGTCTCAGTACTCACTGTAGGGGACGCACTCGTACTGGATCTCCAGGTACTTGTAGGTCCCTGGGCAGGGGTCTGGGAACACGTCTGACCCTGCTACCACCACACACTGGGTTCGATTATTACACCTGCGAGAGGAGACAGACAGGGGACGGAAGGGAGAAAACAGAGAGACGGGAGAAAGTAAGTGATAAAAAAATGACGAGTGCCATTGTAAGAAAGACAAAGAGTGCAAAAAAAAAAACATCTTCAGGCTCTAAAAGACGGAAAGAACGGTAGGGAAGAGAGTAATTTCACACTAGACTAGATCATGTGACAGCTGCACTCGAGGGGAGGTGGGAAACAGAGAGGGAGTAAGGGAGGAGGAAAAGGAGTGGGGCGAAGGATAGAGAGAAAGGGAGGGAGGGAAGAGGCAGAGAGAGGGCGAGTGACGTAAGAGGCTCCTCTCCTGGGGGATTGTGAGTGGGAGCAATTAGAGGTGAGAGAACAGGGAAGGACGAGGGGGGCTAAGGCAAATACTCTACACCACACGCACAGGAAAAACATTCATATGCACATAATACCTACATCTAAACTGCATCGCTGCATGTCTTCTCACGTTTGCAAACCCCCAGAAAGACACGCACACGCAGTAGAAAAGATACACATCCACACACACGTATTTTCATTCTCATCACATAATCCTTCTCTATCCAGCTTTTAGTGTTTCTCCCCTGTGCTGTCTCTTACTCCCGTCATATCTCAAATCTATGCTGAACTCACTCTATCATCCCATCATTTCTAGCTGTCTCTCTCCTTCCTTTACCACCTCAATTCTCTCCTCCACCCCCTGCCACTTCCCTCCCTCCTTTGCTCTCTCTCCCCAAGCTAGCACCCTGTGCCTCCATTACATGTGTGATGGATAGCTAGGAGAGGGCTTCCATTGATCTGAGCTCAGAGGAAGCAGATGCTGAGCGCAAACACAGAGAGCAGCTGTAGGAAGCCCTACAAACACTCTTGTAACAATCCAAAACATACGCATTCACATACACACACTCGTGCATGTATGCACAACTAAACACACACACACTACCATACACATGCACATCTCTCCAAGATGCAGTGGTGCTCTGCACAGAATAAGGATGCTGACTTCAGTATTTCACACAAGATATCAACACCTCAGGAGGAAAAGCAGGAAATTCTGGACGAATTATGTTGTGAAATGATATCTTGTTTCCTCAGCCAATAATGGGCTCTGACTCTGTACAAACACATACACAAGACCAAAACAGATCAATGGTTACCTCTGTGACATTATCTTGAAGGCGTCAGGCAGGTAGCACTGCACATTCTCCATTTGGAAGGGGTCTGCGTCACAGATCTTGTCATCGGTCCGGCCATAGTTGGCCGTCTCAATCATGATGACATCACTTCCAGGGCAGCGCAACTCGATCGGGTAGCCTTCACACGCCAGCTCTCGACGCATCAAGCCGAAGGGCATCATTGACCGGCTCAGAGCTGGAGTGGAAAGAGAGAGAGAGAGAGAGGCAAAGTTATTGACAATTCAATGAACCTTAATACTTTTAGGAGGCACTTTATTATTTGACCACATTGTAAATATGATGTGTAGTATTTGACAAGAGCAGGACGAATGAAAATGGTTTCTATTGTCCTCATGTTAAACACAAATAAGCTATTATTGACTCTCCTTAATTGAGCAGTAATATTGCAGTACCGTTGATGCATAGTCTGGCAATCCAGTTTTCACATTGGAACATCACAGATCACATATTGGCATGGAGGATTTGCAGCCATACCAGCTTCTCCAATAAGATATTGCACCACTTGTGAAACAAACTGTGAGAGTTTCAAATGTTAACAAACTCCTACACACAGCCAGGCAGCAGCTTATCACAAGAACTGTGTGTCCTTTCTAGCATCCTTCAGTCTATTCCACCTCAACAAGGTGTCAGAGCAGCACCTTAGGATTCTCTCTGAATTAGAGGGAAGTAATGTGGAACAAGCAAAAAAAAGGATTAGTGTCTGTGTGTACCTTCACCTCTTGTGTGTACACCATTTGCACATCCACTGCTGCTAATCAGATGTCTGAGAGGCATGTCAATGTACTGCTGTGGCCAGCAGCAGGTCTCTGTGTGGAAAAGGGTCAGCAGGGACCATGGGGTACTCAGGGTTAATCGTTGAGCCAGACTGAGAGGCATGAAAGAGGGCTGCAAAGAGGTACTGTGAGAGACACTTGCAGTCTCTTCAGCTCTCTCCATAACTGCCTACTTTTCCAAATGCCTCCACATTCAGCCTCACACACAAAAAAATAACAAAATGGCTGCCGGCTTCCTTTACAGCCCAGGTAGAGGCAGGGGCACAGAAACAGAATAGAAGTAGAGGCAGAGTGAGTGATCGTGCAGTGGAATTTGCTGCATTGAAGGACAGTTCCTCTGTACTGTGAGAGCTGCTGTCCGTGGTCCTGAACTCACAAGACTTGGGAAAATAACATCTGAAATGTTGGAGCTGCATCAGAGAACTGGTAGGTGCTGTCCGCTGTCCTGAAGGAGCAGCGGGCTTTGAGTGAGCTCTCCTTGGCATTGTCAAATCTAAAAAGAGCAGTGCTAGTGCCACTTAAGCAGGCTAGAATTTGGAAGTTCTTTATAAACTGAAGCTCTCACTGCACAGCATTTCTCCCTGCCAGACGGGCTCAGCGGCAGATGAGGACACTAAGTCAGCCCCTCTTCCCCACTACTGTTTGTGCTGAAACCCACAGAGCGGGGCTGTTTTCCCTTCCTGACACTGAGCTAGCACTGCTTAGGTTTCAGTTGTTGTCCATTCAGGAGGAGTGCCCATCTGGGTCAATGTCAATGTCAGTCATCCCAGACATGCTCTGCAGCGGTGCGCTACATGATTCACTGCCATCGGACTTGCTCATATTTCTAAATGCCACCCATTTATGCAGTGGGGACTTGAGTTCAGTTGTGTAACTAACGCCATTAAGTCTGAATGACTAGCACAGACAGACTTCAAATCTTTTATGCCTTGCCAGCATGCAGTGCCAGTGCCAAATCACAAAGGCCTAGATGCAAAAGCGCATACTAATTAAAGCACACGGAGATGCAAACAGCAGGCGAGGCCAGTCAAACAAATCCACACAACAAATGCAAAAACCCACACAAGCAAATTAGCACAAAAGCGGGCATACTGGGCAGAGGAATGTGCCCGTTCACTGTAGATGTACACACATACTTGCATGCATGCATACACTTATACAGACACACAGTGCCCTGGTGTCACAGAGGGATTACAATGCACAGTGTCAGTGTGTGGCCATGTACTCTGAAATACCCTGTGGTGTAAGTACACAGCAGCATACAGCTGGCCAGCGATTAGAACCATACAGTGAGCCAAGAAGAGAGTAAAACTGAAGGGGGCCACCAGGAGTGATCACACTCAGTCCACTTACACTCTGGACCAACACTACGGGAACAATAGCCCCAACCAGAGGGGGCAGACCACATGTTAAACATACTTTACATACCAAACCCATTTTATATGGTAAATAGTTCTGGCTTTTCAGGGCCACCTTCAGTCATTCCACTGAGCGCTAATATAAACTGTTACAGAGGAAGGGCTCAGCTTTTCAATAGAACAACGAAAGGAGCACTTGATTTAATTTTGTAGCTTTTGTTTTGAACTAGGTTGTTTATGTTAAAGGACCAGTGTGTAGGATTTAGTGGTATCTAGCATTGAAGTTCCAGATTGCAACAAACTGAACACCGTGTGTATCTGTATTTGATGATCTGGAAATGAGAACAGGCTGTGAAGTGTGTAGGAGAAATTATAGTGGCTGCGAAACTTATTCTAAAATAAGGAAAACACAACAATTCCTATACTTGATTACACATTAATGAAAACATACCTATTATATTCCAATTCTCACAATGGAACCTCCTAAATATTACATACATACTTTTACTATTGATAATTTCTGCTTGTTACCATCATTGTGTAGTTAGTGTGTAGTTACGTGTAGTTAAACTGAGAAAACAAAAAAAAGAAATAATTCACCAGTCCAATTTTACACATTAAGTGATGTATGGACACAAATCCCTTTTCTTTTTCAGGTATTTCTTTTTCTGGTCCGGCTGTTACAGTATATATTTAGCCATAATTGAGCACAGCCATTATTGAACCAGTACACTTCAATGGTGGCAGCAACCATGATAACTAGCCTATTTCTGGCACCACTAAAAATCTCTACTTCCGCCATATTGTATCGTATTTCACACCTACATATTTCACACCTACGCACACACTATTTGACAAGCTCCAGGTTGAGGTGGATTTCACCATGTAAATACAGCAGGATGTACCTTACATACTGATTTACGCAGAGATTTTTGAATGGCATATTCACAAACAAGTGGGGAACTTAACTTCAGGGATTCAGTGTCTGTGTGTGTGTGTGTGTGTGTGACAGTGTGTGTGTGTGTGTGTGTGTGTGTGTGTGTGTGTGTGTGTGTGTGTGTGTGTGTACTTGGTTGTGTGTCAGCCAGATGGCCTGAGGCCTAGCTGGAGCTGTGGCTGGCTATGAGCTGAGCTGAGATGAGCAGAGGATAAGCTTGGACTGGCCATGGGCTACGATTGTCCTTCACTCTGCAGGAATCCATTAAGGTTTCAGGGTCTCTTCAGCCAACACACACAGAGACGCACACACATACACACGTGGCCATTTAGTTGTGCCTGTCAGTCTCATAATAGCTGGATGACAAAGTGTCTTTCTCAGCAGCAGCCATATGTATAGGTGGATCTAATCCCTCACAGTGAGACTATGACTCATCTCCCGTGGTATATAAAACTGTGTTAATATCTGTCATCTGCAAGAAATGGTTACCAATTGTCACACATACTGATAATCATATGAGCCAATTCGATAATTATACGAGCTGTTTTGCATGGATGTGGTGGTGTGCAAGACACAGAGATCTCAAAGACACACACACACACACACACCCACACACCCACACACACACACACACACACACACACACACACACACACACACACAGACAGGGGCCTGGTGTCACTCCAGGGCAGCTGGTGTGAGTGGCTGAAGCGGTTGGCTTCATAATAGAAGCTTCATACAAATTAAGAGCAAGAGAGAGAACTGATTGGATTTGACTCATTATCCTCACACAGTAATTAAAGCCTGAGGGTGGATAGATGCTTGGACCCTCAGACAAGAACATAATTTTACAGAAGCTATGCTAGTCTTTGCACACATTCATTCTTTCTCTACCATCACGGGTCTCTACATAAACATCTCAAACACACACACAAACATATATATATCCACAGAAATGTTTGAAAAGATCCAACATCATTTGGAGAAAAACAGACATGACCTGCAATCAAGAGTCATGACCAACACTTGAGAAATTCTGGGTTTTTTTATATGAAGAGTGATACAGAGAGACTACATTTAGAATTCTGAAAAGTTCACAGTACGAATAGACAAAGATTTCTCTTCACTGAAACATTACCAAAAACTTTCCATCATCATTGATGTGCTTTCAAACATAAAAGCACTTTGATTTCACCGTCTCTGACAATTTCACCTTGGACTGTGTTATCACAGACGCTCCATGGTGTGTTTTCTCAGAAATAATTGAGTGAGAAGGTTTGGCCTTGCAGGTAGCTAGAGACTGTGATAGCGACTTTGCAATTGAGTCACAATAGGAGATTATACTTGTGGAGCTCTGTGGCCCTAAGGCTGAGTTGTTAGCTGGATGGCTGACTGTCTTTCGGGGGTCGAAATGTGATCAGCCCCTTTTAGCCCCTCTGTCTGTTCCAGCAGTCATCTCCTAATGCTGCTCATTAGCATAGCACTGAAGCATAGTGCCAGGGAACACTTTCGGCAAGCAGTATTGGAAGTTGAGACACTGGGCATGCAGCGGATGAAGTGGAATTCTTGTTATGTCACCGTCTTTAAAATAAACTTTAAGTGGCATTAAGGCTAATAGGTGAGTATGCTCTTTTTGCCCAGAGATTGCTGTGGAATATTAAATGTATACTGCATACATCTACATATGCCCTCAAATTTAGCTCTGGTCCCTCATGATTTTCAGGTTAGTTCCTTAGTAAAGCTGGCGAAGAAGAACAAGTAATTTTACAGTCATTGGACAGAACTAAGAGGTCTCAGTGATGGGAATCCCTCTCGCAGAGAATCATCCAGACCAATTTCTCCAGTACTTTATCAGCTTAGCGCTGTATCTTAGCGACTCACTTAGCACTGTGAGTTAACGTAATGACTCGCTGGAGCATGGCCTGTCACCACAGACAAGCTGAGCCGATGCGGCCAGAACTGTCACATCCAGGCAGACTTCAAGCTGAGGAGTTGTGACAAAGTGACATCCGGAGACAAACCTAAAGGCCTAACATGAGGGTGCAAGGGGTGGGGGATGCTTGTGGGACAGTGGTTGTGTGTGTCAGTGTGTGCATGGATGGGAGGG